CGCAATTTGGCCATGGGAGTTAATCTATTTAAACCAAAAGTGGGGTTTGCTTCTCTCACCTGACTTTTTATTCTTTATTTTGTACTTTCTGATTTCTTTAAATATGAGACTTCACGGCAACCAATAAAACTCATCAAGATTCAACTTCCCTCAGCATCCCACAAGCAGTGGAGAGTCCACTTGCTCATCTTCTTGAACAGTTCTCACTTCCCAAGGAAGTCCTGGTACGCTGTTGCTACTATAACACAGTAGCAAGAAAACTGGGACGTCTCACAGACCCTTTGAACTGAATATCCATTTCTCTTCTTTGATTCCAACTGGGTCCAATACTTTGCACAGCTTTACTCATTACAGGACTCCAGAGCCTGACCACTCTTGCCATAGCAAGATTCAGATTCCTCTCAATTAGAGGAAAAAATGTCTGTAAAACTCCCATTCGCTTAAATACTGCTTGGAACAAACATTTTTAAAACACGCAGGTACAGAGCAAAAGCTGGGTCAGTACTGGACAAGAAAACTTCATGGGTCTAACAGGATGCATAAAGTGTGTTTGTTAATTTCTGTAGTGTTTCACCACTTCAAAAGACGAAGAAGGCTTTCAGTCTAAATCCTAGTCTAGCTCTTAAAAAAAGAAAAAAGTTTAAAAAAATTGAGAGAATGGACCTCTTCCTTCTTTCTCATTAAGACAGAAAAAAATGAAAATTTACCTTTACTCCTTAGAGGTACAATACGTCTACTAAAAAGCCCCCTCTCTGAATTTCATCACGTCTTGTCACTTTCAAGTGACAATCTTCATAAACAGACCTGAAGAAGAAATAAGAAGCCCATTCTCGGCAAAGCTTAAAGCTGAATTCAAAATTACAAACCTGCATTTCAGATTTGATAATTTTCATGCAACACTGCCTGATTTACCTGAAGAAGAGCTAAGACTCAGAAATAACATTTCTCCCTTACACGTAGTCTCACTGAGACACCTGTGCTTTTATAGATGTGTTATCTACATTCTCCACTAATTCTGTAGCTAGAAAGCTGCTTCAACAAAACTTGATGGACAAGACTGTTCAAGAAGTGCTACTGATGCTTTTAAAAGTTCAGACAGTACAAAACGAGAAATAGTCAGGAAAAAGGATGTTTGCCTTCACAGAATACCCTGTGTTCCCCACATACACTTTTCTTCTGGTAATCCTTAGGAATACACTGGAGAAGAAAGAGACCCTCTGTACAAAGCAGTCCCTCAACAAGAAAACAGATCACATTTTAGCTGTACACCGTGATGAAACAGAAGATAGAAGCATGGTACTAAACCCATCAAACTCACACATGTATCTAAAAACATTCCATACAAAATTCTAGAAAAACTGACCATGAATTTAGCTATGTAGAGCTATGTAGAATTTTTCAGTTAGGTTCAACTTCTTGCATTTAAAACTGAAAGACCAAAAGTTATTGCAGAGGAGTATCCTGAGGACATTATAGTGAATTAATGTCTAATAAAATATGCAGTCTTTTCTACAAAGTATTTGTTCATTTATGACTTCCCTCCCCCTTTAAAAAAAACAAACAAAACTAAACATAAGTCTGGAAAAAAAGTCACACATACTAAAAAAAAAAATTAAAAAAAAAATCAGTCCATCAGAATAAGACGATTCTGTGTTTCTCCCCTTAGGCTTTTCTCTTTTTAAAAAGACAACATCTATTTTCATAACCATTTAGCAGGCCAAACATTTCACTGAAGTTGTACTCCACTAGAAAAACCTCCATCTACCATTCCCTAGTGTAAACCAATCATCTGCGAACCACCTAGTAGTAGAGGCAGTGACTCCGATTACTGACAGTCTTGTGATCCACTGCACCAACTGACGTCTGGGTGATTATGTACAGTGGTTTGTAGTCAGTCTCTTAAAAAGAAAGGCATCTAAAAAGTTTGGTGGGATTCCTAGTGAGCCACTGCAGTTTTAACCATGCAGTAAAACCACACTTGGAAGCACAGAACTAACTGCTTTCTCATGATAGAAAACTAATGAGAACATGCTAATTGGATAAATTAATGAATGAAGAGGCAAGACAGTTTCCCAGCGTGTTATTTTCAATTCCTTTTATAATGGATGTATTCTATGAAATTAATTTGAAGTGAAAATGTACCTGGATTGCTTCAGACCTTTGCCAGATCTCTCTGTACCAAAGCCTGAGCTCAGAATGATGCTCATTTTTACAATTTCACCTTCTCTTCATTTATAGAATTAACAACCACTTTTTTCCCCCTTAAAACATTGATCCAGCTTTCATGATATTTAATTGTGCAACCAACATTAAAAAAGAAAAAAGCCACAGGACTGTGCTTTTGGTTATGCAATGTATTTTTTTTAAAATAAGAGCAAAACTTTTGCCTTTTCTGGTTCCTAGCTCCTTGAAAAATGGTGCTTTACTAGAAGATGTGGGGGAACATTGGAGGTACAGCAGTAGGCTGGCACAGCCCCACTGCTGTCTTGTGTTAGTGTCCGCGCACAGCTTGGGCCGCCTTCAGCAGGCAATGCCAGAGGAGAGTGACTTTGTAAGTGAAATGGTTTTCATTTTAAAGAAAGAAAAGGATGGATAACCTCAAGCAACTAATGTTGAATATTAATAAGGTGTTTGAGAATGGAGCTTTTATTTTTAAATATATTCACCCACAAACATCCTCTCCCAAGGAACTAAGAAGTGAGTGTCCTCAACTTCCAACTGAGGGTACTTCATGGTAATTATTACAAAGGACTGAAAATCCTGGATTATACCCTGTGGGATTTAACTTACTTTAGCTAGGTCTATAACAGTTATGCAAATGAAAGGTTTTGAGATCATACTCTTACAATTTTTTTAATCATTTTTATTTTTAGAAGATGCTAGATACTTCAAAGAATTTATCAAAAAACCTAACTCAAAGACAGACAGGCATGGCTATCAGGCTGAATATATCCTTACCCCTCTGTTGTAAAAAATGTGCAATTCCACCATTCGGAATGATGAAACCGCAAGTCTTAAAGGAAAGACTCTGCTCAGATCTATTTTAAATCAGTAACAAAACAAAACTCTTATTAGCACTCAAAGATTTCAAGTGGCAGTGGAGACAATGTGAATGAGTTCCTGGACCTTTCATCATTTAAACTGAAAACAAGAAACCCAACATATTCAAACATTGGTATTACACAGCAGCATGGTGGGGGGTTTAGGCCCAAGAAGGCATAAATCTGGCTCTTCCTTATAGGATTCTTACCCTGTGGTAACTTAACGTTACTTTGTACTTTAGGGGCTCAACAGACTGAAAGTAGAAATATTTTTAATCATGAAAGTAGGATAAAAATCACTTAGAGCCTACAATAAGAACCAATGGGAATTTTAGAGAAAGATGCTGTACTTTAGCATCTTGAATATCAATCCTGAAGTGCCGTGAACCATGAAAAAAAACAACGGGAAGGGGTGTCAAACCTTTATTCAGATGAAGCTCTCAATGTATTTAAATTAGTATGTTTAAGCTCCATTTAGCAGTCTGTGCATTTTACAGCACAGATCACACTTCAGTTGCTAACACTGTTGGGAAGACTCATTTCTGTTTATTATGGAGACACTTCATTTAGGTGGCTTAAATGTTAGCACATCTCTATGGTTTATTCCAGGAGAGTGCAGCTCATGCAGCAATTCCAATATAGCTTTTACAACCAGGTAAGCACTGGAACAGCACAAGTCAATATTGTCCAGTTTGTGGAGCTGCAGTAATGGCAGAAAAAAATATCAGACAAAAAAAGAATCAGAACTGGAAACAGCATCTACACAACATGTAACATTAAGTGATGCAGAGATGGAACATCTTGGAAAAAGATGGCACAGCAAATACCTCTCCAAAATCCTACTGAGATCAATTTCATTGCACTAAGCTTAGTCCCAGCACGGACAAAATTCCAGTGGTCAGATCTGTTTCCACCAGTTTCTGCTATACCTGCTTTTGGCAGGTTGAATTGACAGTTCCTTTCTACGCTAGTAATTAGGTTCAGAGAAGCAGTGCAATTTTGAAACAAATCAACCTATCAGTCCCACTTAACTGAGCACCGGTTAAATTCAGAAAGTAATTTTAGTGCACGTGAACTGCACTGCTTGAGAAGACAACTAAACCCCATGTGCCACTACAGCTACCCACTAGCTATGCTCCAGTTCCCAGTGGGGACATAAAGACTGTCCATTGGACAGCTCCAAACCACACGCACAGCAGGGATGTTTCAATCTAGGGACTTGATTAAACATAATACAAGGGAAAATCCCAACCCAAATATGCTGCTGATGCTAGGCTCTCAGCACCAACTGCTTTGACCTACTGATCCACTCCTTTTGAGCCACACCATTTGCTAATGCACACACTGCCCACAGGCCCTTTCATGCCAGCCTGGAACTCTTTCCAGCTCTCTCCTATAAAACATCCTGAACAGCACAAAAAAGCACATAAAAGAATCTCTTCAGAGGATTTCCTTCTACAAAAATTCTTCATAAACAGAAATTCTCACTCTTTCAGAATTGATACAATTTCAGTTCTACAAAATCAAAGACTTATACAAAATACCTTTTCACAAGTGTTAAGGATTTACTTGACCAAAAAAACTGTATAAACATTGGACGGTAAGCATGTCAAGTTACATGATGAATATGGTACTCCAAATCTTCCAGTCTGTAAGCCAGCCACCAGCAAAGTTGAAAATAGGTTAACTGCACGCACATTTGTTATTTAGTAAGAATGCATTTCATCTTCTAGCAGGTCATTGTGGAACCATACCTACATTAATCAGAATCATGTTTTTACATAGTTCACTGCACTAAGAAAAACAAAGAGAAATCCAAGGTAATTCTCTGCAGTCTTACCTCAACTTTAACCTTTAGATTAATTACGTAGTGTGCCAGAACTCATATCAGAAAAGGAAACATGAAGTGGGAAAAGAACAAGAAATGCACAGAAATATTACAAGATGGTTCTAACTTACCTATGTGATATAGTCCTATCCAGTCAGTCGGGTCTACTTCTTCCTTAATATCCCAGAAAATGATGAGGTTCTGAGATTGCCCTAAGGTATATTCATACATACTGGCTGTCAAACTAGACCTGCTATCTGAGGTCACTAAATCAGTGTCGCTGTTGGCACGCTGCAAGTTCATGTTCTCAGCCATGGTTCCCTGAGATGCCAAACTCTGCAGATTCTCTGGGCTCAGAGTATACCGTAGCTGTGGGTTGCGACGTCGCACAAAAAGCAGATGTTCTCGAGCTGAACTGGCCATCTCTTCTCCGGTTTTGTCAATTTACGTGAAAAAGTTGTTGTTCAGAGATCTATCATGAAGAAGAAAAAAAAGGAAGTGTTGAAGTGAGACAGCAGGTTACTCAGTCAAATATTAAATGGAGAGGCATTAGGGCAAAAATGTTCATACAGAAGCCTAAAATGGACTGAGTAAAATATTTTACTTCATTGTTTTACCACTGCAGCCACCTTAGTGTCCGTACATTAAAAAAAAAAAAACAACAAAAAACCCACACATGAATCACTTGTGACAAAATTCAGAGTTAACCACACACCATTAAATAACATTTATAAGCCAGAAAGCAACAGAAAGCAAAACATCCAAGACCATCTAACAAGCAAGAACAGCCAGAGTAACAAAGCTCATTTAAGTCTGGCAGTAATCTAAAGAGTGAAGAGATAATGAACTCATCATCTTCCACCAAAGAAATCACAGCAGTGTATGATGTACTTTCACTTAGATACATTAGTTTCCAACAATACTCTCTATGCACTGTATGTTCAGAATCAGTAAAGTGTTGAAGGTATTAATAAGGTTGGACATATTTCAGAAGAAACGTGGTATCACGGATTTATGCTACTATGAAATCATTTGGTAAGGATTTTATTTTTTAAGATACAAAGCATAGCTTCTGAGATCCTCTATACCATACCAAACCACATCAGACTGTTGACAGGGGTACTTCAGACTACGGATATATATTCAATTAGCCCATGTCAGTTTATCTGTGCCATCAGATTGTGTTGTTGTTCTCCATACATCAGAAAACAGAGGCCTTACAAATTCAACAGCTTTCCTCTAACCCTGAAGAGACACTAGAAGGTCTTCACTGAAATGGTCATGCCAATATCATCACAATATATGTTCAGAAGCAGAACTTGCATCTCATTATCCATAGCTACTAAAAGTACCACCATATGAAAATAAGCCCTCACATTACTCACAACTTGAGATAAATCATCAGAAAGGAAGAACAAGAATAACAAAATAATAAACAGAGGGAACAGCTTATAGGAGGATAGAATTGGCGACGGAGAACCTCATGCCATAGAATGAATATGAAAATTTCTTTATCTAAGCTACGTGACTTCGACCAAAGCTGTTCGCCTTCAAAAGCTACAGTTTGTACCATTGTTGTTTCTTTATTTGACACAGGAAATAAAATGGTCCTTATCTGGCAGAACCATTTGCTTTCAGAAGAAACTGATTTTTCTGGTAATGTGTTTTTCAGTCAAAACTGTGAAAATCATCTTCTGTACTATATTCACCTGGAATAGGAACCATGTATTTCCTTCAAAGCCAAACCAAACCAAAGCAGTCCTCCTGCCCAGTAGTAACTCCAAAGCTCACCAGGAAGAAATTGTGTCCTGGGGTCCGTACACTCTTCATACAATTTGAAAATAGTATTTCATAGTATTTCTGACCAGACTGCAACTTAACCGTTAACAACATAAATTATTCCACTATAGCATCTTCTGAGGGATGTATACTGCAGAAAAGATCTCCTTAGTTTTATACATACAAATAACTACATATAAGAAAAATGTGTGCATGTACACACATAAAAAAAGCAAGTAAGAGGTACCTGTGTATTACTCTTGGGCTTTCTTCTTGGCGTCATAGCCTTCAGCTATCATACGCAGATATATTTGTTCTCTTAAAATAACCAAAGCATTGTCAGACAGTGCTGAGTGTCACCTGCTATAATGCTCCTTGTTTCAAGCAAGGAAGCCTGTAATGCAGAATTAGATAAAGCCCACGACAAGCGAATGGATTGGCTGGCCACTTCCATAGTATTATAATTGTAATTAGGCCTACAGTACACTACCACTATCAATTAAATATCTGACAACTGGTTTATTAAACGGAAACCTCTGCCTCTAGAGGTCAAAAGATATTTAATTATTAAAAAGAAAAAAAACAAGTAGAGCACTTGGAGATCCCAAGATTGTGACTGAGAAAAATTCATTAAAAAAAAAAAAGGCATTTTCATATTTTGAGGGTTTTCTTTTCCTGTTCATCCCTCTTTCCCAACATGATGAATCTTCAAAAACTGCCTCCTCCCTTTACTTCTACTTCCCATCACTCATCTTCAATTTTCTTTTTAATAACATTTCAGTGTATGCATTCTTCCAGTGTATCACAAATTCTGCTATTTTTCAGCTTTTCTTAAATTGGAGAAGTTTTGAAATATTAAGAACTAAAAAAGGGGAAAAATAAAGTTCAACTCATCCAGTTGTATGCAATTCATCACACACTGTACATGGTTCAGCATCAAATATTGCAGAAAAGGAAAGAAACAAAAATTCAGTTCAATAATTCTGCATATACAGAAGCGAAATGGAGATTACCATATTTACTTCACAAAGCATGCAACACAGTCTTTCCTGACATGAACAATGTTTTGGCTGTGTACATGAAACATTTTATTTTTGGTGCTGGATGTCAGCAGTGTTCACTAACTCCTTCTCTGACACATTCCCGTGCACTCTGCCTGTGACACCAGTGTCAGTGACAAAAAGAAAACTTTGGTATAAAGGGCCTTCTTAAATGAGAGTCAGGGAAGTTAGTATCTTGTTTCTCTACGCAGAGTATTATTCACTAGATCTGAAAATCCTGGATGACTTTGAGACCAGAAGGGTAAATAAGAAATAGCCACCAACTTCCCTACAAGCCAGTGAAACACACAGGGATCACCTAGTCACTGCAATCACCCCATCCCCTTTGTTTTTTGTCCCCCTTCTTTTTTACTTTGCAATCTGGGCAACAGCACATGCTAACAGTTAAGTCTTAAATGTCACAAAGAGTTGTACCCCCTTGTCAGAAAGAGACCCGATTTACATCTGAGCCTGCCCATGGCAGCAAGCACATACACCTGCCTAAGTACCACTGACCTCCACACTAGGAGATTGGGCAAGGTTAATTAACAGACTGACAGTGTGCTATTAAGTTAAATTTCTTCTGTCCCACAACTAGAGATTTACGTAATTTTGAACTATTGTATATAGTGGTTTTATGGCAGTACAATCACTGCAAAATAAGTGTCATGCAGGAGGATTACAAGTTAAAGACAAAGTTTTAACAGGAGGGATGAAAAAATTTCCTTCAGCTGCAGAGCAGTACACTGTACCCGCGGCAGCACGGGCATTTGTTGGAACATATTGAAAATGTATATGTGGCAGATGGACAAACTCATCCATGTTTAAGGACACACGAGAACTAACTTGTACTAGCTAGGGCTATCCCACAGTCTGAGACATGAGAACAGCCTGAGAAAAATGCTAACTCCTTTGCAACAGTCCATTTTCTTAAGTCCTAATTGTTATCACTCTGGTGAATCATGGACATCATTACAGTTTCTGAAAGTAAAGTAAACTACAAATCTAAATGCTGGGTAACTTCTCTGATACTACTCATAAATCCAAGAGTCTTAAAGACATGATTTAAACAATGATCTAAAAAAAAAAAAAAAACCACATAACTTAAAGCAATTGAAATCAATTTGCAACAAACAAGTTAACCTCGCATGTAAATGAGCTCCTATTATGGAAAAAATACCTCCAAAAATTCAGGACTCGTAAGGTTTTAGAATATTTTCAAAATTCAGTGAAATAGGTTGTAAAGGGGCCCTAGTGTCAGACAATACTCTGCTACGTAGCATCTCACAATAAGCTGGGAGGTTAATTAAGGAGATTTGTAGAGAGAAACATAACACTCATATTGTAAAAGGGGAAAAGGTGATTGCCATAAAACCCAAACCATAAGAAGTCACGGAAGGGAAAAAAGACCCACTACTTGAATTATTTGCAGTCTGAAAATTCAGTCTGAAGATGGGAAGAAAACCTTACACAGTGCCTTCCTGCCTACAAAAGGAATTGCTTATTTGACATTTGGTTAACGATTCCTTATGTCTGTCTTTAATAACTTAACAGTACACTAACATATGCATCCTACCAGAGACTGAAAATAAGTTATCCTCCCACTTCCAATTCCTGCTAAGCACCACTGAAACGGCATTTGCACCCAGACTGTACTGTATAGACAATGCCCACAATTAGCTGTGTGCACCTGCGCTGCCATGAAGGTTTGGCTAATCAGGCTGAATGTGATTAGAGCACCGATTTTGTTAAGTATCTGACCAAGCTGGCAAGGAATATTGTTTCATGAAGGCAAGCCGAAATGTGGAAAACGAATCAAAAGCATAGGGAAAATATGGGCATTTGAGAAATCAGCAGATACTAACTTTAGCAAGTATTTTAGTTGAAAAGTAAAACCTGTACCAAAGCTGCTTATCCGTATCACAGCGTTTTCTTCCGTATTTGACAAGAAGCTTAGAGAGAAATAGGGCTGATTTCTTCTTAATCTCTAAGTGGCACAAGTTCAGGATCATTTCTATCTAAATACACTCCTCAATTACTAACCATAGAGAGACCAGAACTAGCAAAAAGTTCCACTTAATATACGAAACACAGACAGGAACAATCCCCTTGCCCAACCTTCTTCACTAAAGAAGACTGAAAAGAAACGTCAAACCATTTCTGACATGCAGTCAAACATTTAATAGTTTAAAAAAATACATGAATGAAAGTCCGGGAGTTCCAGCACAGGAAAACGCCCCAAAAATCCCATGCAAAACAAAACAGAGTTCACATGTTGCCCTGTTTATCTTACTCGTAACAGTGATTCACTTCCTGCTTATGTCGTGATCTTTTATGTGTCTTATAGGTCTTGCTAACAGCCTCTTCCCACAGCATTTACTGTAAACCAACTCTATAGGGCTGGCCCTGAGAGTACAACTGGTCACCCACCGGACAAGATTTGCTCTCTAAGCGGGTGGCTGAGGGTGCTGCTGGGGAAGCGACAATTAACACATCTCACTGGGAGACTGGCTTCACGCCACCGCACTGCAATGTCGCGTCTCCCACAGGAGGAGCGAGGCGAGGAGGTGGGCAGTGCGGCAGCCTGCAGGCCGAGGCTCGGCA